AGGGTTTAGGGCTTAGGGTTTGACGCGTGTCATGCGAGGTCGCGTGTTCGGACATGAAGCGCCCCGGGGCGTGCGCCCGCGTCGCTCGTAAAGCCGCCCCGGCTGCCCACACTACTTTCAATGCAGGGTGTAGGGTTCACCGGTTGACCCTCCAAGTCCTCTCAAGAGGCACTTTCTCGTTGCTTTTGCGGCCTTCGGGGGATGCTCTGCATCGTACAGCGCCTCAGCGCCAAGCCTCCAGCTTGTACAGCAAAGGCGGAACAAGAAGCGTCATAGCGGCATTAGGGATGCGGGCACTATCGGCGGAGGCCCACAAAAGCCCTCAAATTACAGAATTTCTGCAGCTCCTTGTGGACGTTTTTTCACCGTAATCTGCATTTTGTGGGTCTTTGTCGCCGGGAGCACGCCCAAATCCTAATAGAGCTCCTTTTGCAAAGGCCTTTTCCGCCGCTGTCTGAAATGTGTGTTTCGGTCGTCTGAGTCGTCGATGTGTGGGAGACCCACAATCATCGACTGTCATAGCCGCTCGGGTTGTTGGCTAACATTAAAACTTGGGAAATCGAAAGATTTTCGATATTGAACATCCAAACTGGATGGCTATGGACCTTGTGGGTTAAGAACTCTATCTTCGAGTCCAGGGCAGCGTCCAGGGTTTAGAGTCGAAGGCTCTCGGCTTTCAGATGAGTCTCGTACTCAATCTTATCCAGGCTAACAATCGCGGCAGACTTGTCCCCTTCGTAGCCTTCGTACAAGTCTCCGGCCTGCACACAAGCATTGCTAAGATTGAGCGGCAACGACGGTCATGCTGTCTGCCACCACCATCATCACCGCCACCACCAGCTAGGACTACGACTGCGACTAGCACTACCACTGCTACTACAACTCCCACCACTACCACTGCTACTGCTCCTGCTCTTGGTCCTTCTTCTTCCTCCAATCATCACTACCATCACCACCACCACGACTACTGCCACTCCTACTACGACGGCGACGACGACGACTTTCACATACAAGTCGAAATGAACTTTTACGAGAAATTGTACTACTACTACTACTACTACGACGACTACGACGACGACGACGACTACTACGACGACGACTACGACTACGACTACGATTACGACTACGACTACGACTACGACTAGTAGCACCACCACTACCACTACCGCTACTATTTGAGTTTACACCATGCAGATGATGATGATGATGATGATGATGATCACGATGGCGATGACGACGACGACTTCAGCATTACGTGCTACAATCATGAATACCGCTATGCTGCCTATGCTTACTAAAGATTCTTGAGTGTTTTGCGCTGCCATGCTCGTTTCCCACACCCTAAATCCTGAAGCCCTTAAATCCTGGACCCCGAGCCGCAAGCCCGCCCAGGCCTTGAGGTATCTGTCGTAGGACAAACTCATCAGGGCGCTAGCTTCCTCAGCCCCTGCGTTGCACGGACACTCTAGTGGCCTTCGGGCTTCGGGGTTCGAGCGCGAGGTTTGGAGGTTTACGGAGGAGGGTTTGAGGTTTGAGGCTTTGGAGTGCCATGGTTTTCGGCTTAAGCATCTTGTTTGGCAAGCTCAGTTCTAAGGTTTATGGGGTATCGTTTCTTTTCTGGATGTTCAGCCTCAAGTCATCAAGTTTCGGCCTAGGGGCTGGATAAGTTCTTCTCTGCCACAGCCTCTTCCAGCTCACGCACATGCCTGTAAAAGGCACCAACCTCGTAGCGGAGGGAAAATCGGAGCGATTGATCAACTGGTGAGTCACTGGGGAAGGCGGAGTCGGTGTACCTCGTGAAGACCTCGGATACTCGGACATCTCACGACATCTCACGACCTACAACTGCGACAGCTGTGCGACGGTTGCTGGACCCACGGGCTGACTGAAACAAGCGGCTGGCAAGTAGGCTTGTAGCAGATTTGGATAGATTGCCAGGTTCTGCCAGTCCTCGTCGTAAACATCTTGCTGCAGGTCCGCCAAATCTGCAGCAACTCCACGTAAGCGTTTGAGAACCTCACATGGTCCGGTCCATGCATAGACAGCGTTTGTCAACCCGTGTGGCCATCTGCCTGCTGCCAACATCGTCTCCAAATCCGTTGGGAGGTTGTTTGTTTCCTGAAGGGCCTTACGGGTTTTGCGAGCAGGCAGTCCTTCGGGGGAACCCTTCCCATCAGTGATAGGGGGGTTGGACAACCCGAAGCCTGAAGCTGTCGTTTGGGCTGCTGCTGTGCTTCACCCCGTGTCAGCCATGGACAGGAGATATCACTTCATCAAAGGCATCCTCCCCTCGCACGCAACAGCCAAGGATCAAGAAGGGTAGCAACGCAAAGCAGAACAAGGAAGAAACCCAAAATCACACAGGCTCTGCGGTGCTCACTGAAACCCCATCCCAGGCACGGCTCTGGGGACTCGCCGCCACGCGGCCTGGGAACATTCGGACATCAGGACTCGTTCTGGATGACCTACACCGGGACTCGGTTCAGCTGAGTGCCGGAAGGTAATTCAGGGTGCGCGGTTCAGGGTGCAGGCGAACAACAGATTGACTCCCCACATAGCTTACCCGATCATGCTCACAGGAAAACCGTCACGTCGACGTTGAATCTTAGAAAGCGGTACGAAGTGCGGAGCATCACCGTGCATGAATGACAGCTGCGCTGTATTCAGTGCCAACAGCCCTCGGCGAAACCGTCCCAGAGCAGAACAACCTAGTCCCTGCAAGCACTTGAGCCTTCTCATCCGTTCGGAGGGCAGCGCGCCACTCCGGTTTCAAAAGTGCTCCTGTGGCTCCGTGTCGGATGTACGAGACTGCGTTCGCCCAGACCAGGAAAGGTAAATCGGAGTCGCTTTCTCCCTTCACCTCGAAGACTCTAAGGCCTGAACCAAAATTTCCTCTCCCTTGAACCTCCTATCTTCACCGAGGATCGCCAGTCTGGGAAGGCCGAGGCAGTCTGGGAGGATGTTTTCGGAGACCTTTGCACTTAGGCTAGGTCCTAAGGTCTGTAGGAGCTTCTTACAGGAGGCCCGTAGCCAGGACGAAGACATGTTCTGAAGAGTCCGATCCGAGCAGCTGCATTGTTGCGGCTCCCACGTCGGCAGTGGCACTGCTTGCCAGCAGGCACCCTGCGAGAAGCATCACAGCAGCTAGATGGAGTGGCCTTCAGGGCTCAGAGAGCACAGCCACAACCGGCACAGATCAGTTTGGACAAGCACCACCACACCTTCCCAAAGGAGCTTCCGCAGCCGCCTGTTGCGGCTTCGCAAGAACTTCTTCATCAGGTCTACTCGACAGTCTTGGCTGATCCTTCCAGGTGTTACCTTTCGGCTGCGCCGATCGGGCCAGATCCACAAAAGCCTCTGGCAAGCCTAGAGCGCACAGCAGGCTGCATAAGAGCAGCAGTGCAGCTCCACATCCCCGGCGACTTCGAGGCATCTTTGCATGAATTGCCTGTACTTCGAGCCTAAACAAATCCAAGAAAGTCAGAGCCGGCACCGGCAGGTCAAGCCTGCCGCAAAAACCCAAGCTTTCCAAACCTTCCGCAAAAAAAATAAAGCGCTCTTCACGAGGTAGGGCCTTTGTGCACCGAGACAGCCTCGGCAATCTGAGCCTCGGTAACTTCCGACCTCGGCTGATTCAGTCTATGCACGGCTCTACGCGACTACTTGTATGTGAGGCTTCGCAGTGGGAAGCCAGTTTCGCTCCACGCTTGCAACGATGCGGTACGGTCTGCGGGTTCGGGAAGACATCTGGCGGGCTTAGCCCATGCCGGAATGCGCTGACTGCATGCGAGAGTTTTCTGAAGGCTTTGCCTCAATGTCGCAGAGTCTCTTCATGTGCGTCAATTTGCAGCGGAACGTGATGTCCGACAGCCTTTGGCATACGTCGCTTGCCTCTCACCGAGCGCGGTCTTGTCGCCTCAGTCGCGAATTTGCTCCATGCAGGCCACAGTGCATGGCTTCTCATGCAGAGGCTTGGGATCTCAGACTTCTGTCATAGAATTGCAGACTGCCCGCCTCATTTGATGCAGCCTCGATGTGATCGTCACATTGCTTATGTAGGCATTGTACTTTTTGCTAGACGAGCCTTTTCGCCGCATCCATCATTTACTTGATGTGATTTGAAGACAAGCGGACGGACAGACAGATAGACAGACAGACAGGCAGAAGGAGAGAGAGAAGTGAGATGCAAAATCGCCTCTGCCAGCCATCGGTGATTCGCCTTGGACCCGTGTCAGCCATCATGCCACCATGCGTTGACAGAGCACCCGATGTGCTGCCGTGCTGCAACTATCCAAACAGAGCACAGGATCTGCGGCAAAGGCGCTGTTCGACGGTGCACACATCGCCTCGCCCAGGAACCCTCTTTGTTGCTGGCTCCTGTGACGTGAGATCTTCACTTTCTTTCATGACTTCGACAGGATGGTACAAGTGCTCAATGACTTCTTGCGGATTTTTCGGGTTGCCCTGCCCCCCCCTCCCCGGATGGAAGAGTCTTGCATCGGTCAAGTCTCGTCCTTCTTCTGCTCACCTTCCAACGCCTGGAAGCAGGCCGGGCCAAGCTCAATCTCTTGCGCCGCATTCTGAAAACTCTCGAGAAGCTCTAGAAATGCAAGGCCCTCAGGCAGTCTAAGGCAGTCTGCTGCAGCTTGTCGTCACAAGTCGAGAGGAGCCCAGCCGCCTGATGGCCGTGGCCTCCCGAATGATCCTGTAACAGGGCACGAGGCGTGAGCGTTGCTCCAGGCTCATGCCTGCAAAAAACCGTGTACGGGAGAGTAACGCACGCAAAGCTCACTGGAGCTTCAGCCAAGATTCAATGTACAAGGCTCCGGACACACCGGGTCCATAGCTCATCTCCGGATGCTGCAACTTGGTTGCCATGTGAGCTGGAGTCAAAACAGAGAGAGCTATGCGGTCATGGAATCGTCAACCATCGCCAATTCACTAAGGTTCCAGCAACTGTTCCTTTGCCACCGCCCGGCGTGCCTGCACTAAACACCACGCGGCACATGAACAGCACATTGTATGCAGGCAGTGGTTTTCTTGGACTATTGGAAAGCGAGACTGCGTGTTGAAATACTGCTACACAGAAGTGGATTTCTGCCTGTGAATGCCAAGCTGACCAATCATGTCTCAGAGTCTTGGAGGCTGTGACCCGCAAGCTGGGCAACGAACCACCCAGGCGCCAAGGGGTCATTCCAGATATACCTGTGGGGTGACGAAGTACATTTGACAGGGTTATTTTGATGTTCAGCAAACATATCAAAACATCAGAACACCAACCTAGCCGGACCTAGCCAGCAGATGACCCCGACAGCACGCGCCTGGTCCATAATTCCTGTGCGGTCCACAGACATACACTGAGTACTCCTTCCATTTCGACTTGCAAAGCTGGGTGCAACACAGCTCCGGGTGAGTCACCATCGTGCAGTCGCCACCCCTGCCGGTGCTCGCTGCAGTTGCAGATCAAAACACAAGGCCCGAAAACTCTGAGTAGGGGGCCGGAAATGCGACATGTCTCCCATTGTCGCTTGTGAAGCTTCGTGCAGTCACCTCAGACTGTCTCACCCACCCCACAAAACCTTGCTGTCGGCAGCACAAGAGCTGTTCTCAATGGGTGCGTCCGAGAGGCTGTAGGATAGCCACTGAGTGGCAAGGCTTCGAGCCGAAAGGGCAAAAGCTACCCCCACCGACCGTGAGCGTGCATTCTCGGTGCCCGAATGGCGAGGCTGCTAGGCATTGATAATTTGAGAAGCATGAAGTGCAGAGGCGAACTCAGACATCATGATCGATTCCAGCAACATGGCGAGACTAATGTCTGGGGCACAGGCATCCCTTCTGTCAGGAGCATGATGCAGCAAGTGCTGTCGTCCTCCACATGGATAACCTCAAGGGGGGTGACCCAGCAACCCGAACTTCTTCCAGGAATCACGGTCAAAGCCCTGGCAGGGCCTCACTAACGATTTCAAGGCCGACGAGTTTTCGCGGCCTGGGGCAAACTGCGGATCACTCACAGAAAAGGCCCCAGAAGAAAAGCTCTGAGATGGCATCCTCTTGAGGTCCCGAAGGCCCAAACCACGAGCCTGTCACAGCGCACTCCAACAGTGAGCCACGGCTTTGTGCAACAGCGCAGCTTGAAGCTGAGCTCACGGCAGTGTTCACGGCTCTACTTTCTGATGGAGGCGACCACAACCTGTGGCGCCACAGAACGAAAGAACTGAGTGCACAGACAAAGAAGAAACTCTGGGAGAGGACAAAGTGTCCGACTGGACCACGGGTCTGGCCGCAGCATCCACCACCTGAAGAAGGAAGATCGTGCGAATGGCTCTTAAAAAGGTGCGAAAAGATGCGAGCCTCTCCCATGATGCCCAAGGCTCTGTCGGCACCCTCTGGTGAAGCCGCGGCCAGGTTTGTCAGAACCGCCTTAACAGCAAAACTGAAAACGATTCCGAGTCCCAGCTTCCCCCAAACGAACAGCCGCTTGTTGGCTGGTCAGATTAAGCCATCTGCACGGTAGCGCGTTTCCACTTGTGCGTTGGCCATGGCCTCTCACGGAGCTGGAGGATAGCGACCCTTCTTAAAGCAAATGCATGACAGTGTCAACCGACAGCAAGTCCCAAACCTCTCCGCACCCTGGCTCAACCTAAGTGTAGCTGGGCGCGGCTTGAGAGGCAATTTGGAACCCGTGCACTGCATCTTCGGTCGCGGGCCCCGAGGATGGTCGATGCCCGCTTCTGCGACCTGAAAGCTTCTGACGACGGAATCGAGCCTGCTGTTGGATCTGAGAATCCGGGTAGCCAACACTATGCCACCCTCATCATCCATAACCTGCCGGGCCGGCGGGATTGGAATGGCATCTCAGCCCACCCTCTTTCGCTGAGGGCGTGGCGTAACAAAGCTCTGCAAGCTGATGGGTCCCGAAGGAGTCAAGACCTGAGAATCGACGCGCAAGGAGCATTGCTTGCGCGGCACGCTTCTGTTGCAGATCTGTTGACGAAAAACGTATAGTTGCTCCAGAATTTTCATCAGCTCCAGGATCACAACTGAGCATGGCTTCGACTGCCTTGCCCGCAGCCTGGCACATTTGGACATGGCACAGTGTGGTCTGGTCTCCCTCCTCTAGAGATGCAGGCCGCCTTGACTCTGCCGAGGGCAGCAGTGCAAAGAGGATCTCCATCCGGTGCCCCTACCTGAAGAGCCAGCCGAAAGAGTGCCCCTCGAGGTCGACATTGGCAGCAAGAAGCTGTCTGAGCTCATCTAGAAGCTGGGAGACCCACGACTTTCTCAAACTCCTCTACGGCCTGAAGCAGCTCGATAGGATCGGCTTCATTGCTTGCAGGAGGGGTGGCATCCACAAACCCATCCCCAGGAGCCTTCTGCACAGTGGCAGGGGTCGCAGTCATTGCCTGTCGCGGCTGTCTTTCCATGTCAGTAATTAGGAAGCCTGCTGACTCTGCGTGCCTCTGCAGCTGTCAAGCCGAGAGCCGCAAAATGGTGAGCCTCATCGAGTCCAATCTGGAGCAGGACTCAACAACCGGCAGTTGCCTAACGCAGTGTGACATGCTAGGCTCGCCGCGGCTCTCGCTGCTCGTCGTATGGCTCGCTCACGTTCGCTGGGAAGCTTTTCCAGCTCTTCAGCTGTTGCCTAGCCGGCTGCCCGATGCATTCACTCTGACGGAACAGCTTCGCCAACAAAAAGCATCTTCTGCCCGGTGGACTACTCACAAGCGCTGTCGAACATCCTTTTGATCTGCTTCGGGGCACACGGCAAACGGAGTCACGGGCAGTGACAGCCTGCAGGAATGACTTTAACCGCTGTTGTGTCAGTCCAAGCATGTCGCAGACGGGGCTTCTCGGGCCCTGAACCTCTGGCTGCAAAGATATGTCGATGCGAGACATGTCCGCTTGCCGCGCACACATGGAGAGCTTCATGTCCCGGATCCGTGGAACTCCCAAGTCTCAAAGCAGCACGAGTCGCAAGATGTCGCAAGAGCACTCGCCGCTCTGTCTCGCGGGCTCAATAGGCTCAATAGCCCTTCGACTTGTCGACGACGACCGGGAAGCCGGAAAAGCCTTCTGTCATAAACTCGTCCAGTCGTTCCAGAAATAGTTGCCAGTTTTCATGGGCACACCTGGCACGGAAGCTGATTCGCTTGCATCACGCCTTCTGAAGCGAAAAAGCATCTCCAAAAACCTTGCCAGCATGCTTCTGCGGCTCTGTTTTGCCATGTATGGGGCTGCATTGTGTGGGCTCATCAACCTCGGACAGCCCAGCATTGAAGTCAACCGGGGGAGCAGAAGCTGCCAAGGCTAAAAGCAGAATTTGGCATGTGCCACCATTGGAATGGGCTTCGATTCTTTTGGCTCTTTCAAGGTTCGAAAAGGTAAAAGGATGTCTTGCAAAGCTTTCAGCTGCGGAACAGACTCTCGCATCTCCACAGCGGGGAGTCCGGTGGCAAAGGCTCCTGAGTTCAGGCCGAGCGTGGCAGCGTAGACTCGCAGATGGAACATGGACCAAGAGACCAAGAGACAAGAAACAACGTTATCCACAACAGCATCCTTCTCGAAGACGTCCAGCGCTGCCCCCGCGATCTTGCCGTGCAACAACCTCGCTAGACTTGCTATCCGAACGGTGAGAGGTCCACTACGGAGAGTCGAGACATTGAGCTCCAAGCAGGTCTTCCAATGCTGCTTCATCCACACATGAACCTCCAGGCTGGGGGCCGAAACGGCAAATTCTCCTAGGTCCCAGACATGGCACCCGAGACTCCCAGTTTCATCACGGCCTCGGCCCAGCGAGATGAAAACGGCGGTGGGCTTCATGGCCTCAAAGGGTGCCGGAGCTCAATGGCGCGTAGTGCTTTGGAGTTTCGCTGCTCACTCTGGGCTATCTCAAAGCTAGAAGCTTCAGGATTTGGAGGGTTTGAAGCTGCATTCAGGGAAGGGACGAAAAGCTTGACAAGAACCGAAACCAGCACGATGAGATGAGCAGGAAAAGTAGTACAATTGACCGCCCAGACATCCCGGACAAACACAAAATGCATGGAAGTTGCTTAGGCAGTTCGTGTTGGATCTCCATACTTCTCAGGAGGGGACGCAAAGCTGCTGTAAGGCCCGGGCATTCAACTCCTCTGCCTGAGATCACTGCCAGGGAGAAGTTGCAGAGCCATCTCGTGACTGTGTGGCTGTGGCCGCAAAACATGCCACATGCTGTGGTTTTGCGATACAACTTCCAACAGAATCAGTTGCAGAGAGGGTGCTCCGCAGCAGTGGTACGTTGCAGAGCCACCAGGTAGTGTACAAACGACGTAGTCGGACTGCTTAAAGACTTCCTGCAGCAGTGAACTGAATCTGTCTACAGGCCAGAGTGCTGCAAGAGAGCTTGTAAACATTACCACATGAGCAAGAGTTCAGAACTCCGATCCCTCTCGCTTCCTACAAGGCAATGCCGTACAAGACTTGCTGGCCACTGGTATGCATGCCTGCTTTGCGCCAACTCCGTCACCGGCATAGAAGACTTCGTCGGCCAACTCCTCACCCGAGGCTTGCCGGGAATTCCGCCACGCAAGGATCCGCATGCCAAAGGCCTTGCAGAGGCGCGCGCTGCACTGTGCGATGTCACCGAAACCAATGAATCCCACGGTTTGTCCGTGGAGCTCGTTCATGACGAATTTGTCCCAAGTCTTTGTCGTGCGATGCTTCTGTAATCTCGGGATTTGCTTGTTGAAGTGCAGCATTGCTGCAAGGGAGTATTCGGCCAGGGATCTCGAGAAAGCTCCCTTGGCATTGGTCAACGGGATCTCCGAACCCCCTGGCAGGGAGTTGAGCACCGGCACCAGCGTGTCTACTCCCGCAGCCAGGCTGTGGATCCACTTCAAGCACGTCATATGAGGCCAGAGGTCAGCCACTGCTGCAGGGTCGCCACCAAAAACGAGAATCTCCACAGCCTGCAGAGTCTCGAGTTCGCCCTTGAAGTCAGCTAGAGAATTGCCGACAATCCAGGTCGCTGATCTCCTCTTCCCGTGCGGGGGCCGTGACTCGAGCGCACTCTTATCATGTTGGACCGGATCGGTAATCCTGCTTACTGCTAGTCTTAGTATCTACAGTATCAGCGGCCGTCATACTCGATTGCTCTCTTGTCCGAGGATCTGGGAGAGTTGCGGAAGGCATTCCACGACAGCAGCGCCATCGCTGGATAGCTCATCCACAACCACAGCAACAACAGGCATGGAGGCACGGAATCTCTAAGGCGAAGACTAGCAAATGGCAAAGAGGCAACAGAAAAATTGAAATGACATAACCCGAATCGAGAGAGCTTCGACCACTGAGGCAAAGGCACTGAACGCAGAGAGGCTATCCCCTGACTTGCCCTCAAAGTCCAGCGGCGCATACTCCTGGCATCTCCACCATCGGCTTCCCTACGCTCCGATCCCCAGAACGAGTCGGAAGCCTTGAGTCGCCGATGCCGCCCCAATTTCTCTACATCGGCCAGTGCTCGGCCACCAGAGCGACCACCTCGGGAGATGCCGAAAGGCGCGTTGCGCAACGCGAAGGCTCGAAAAACCGCGAAGTGACGCCCTGAGCCCCCTACCACCGACAAGCAAGCGAGCATTCCAAACTTCTGGTTGCCTCAGGCATACGAACTTGTTTCCAGATGTGAAAATCGCGCCTCATCGAGCAAAAGGACTCACTACAAACGGTAGAGCTTTGCCATTTTCCGAGCGAGTCTGAGTGCGCAAACGGCGGCTGAGAATCGCCTCCCTTTGGCGGTGTGCACCTCGAAACAGGGCAGACTGAGAGCTGGAGAAACATGTGTCTGCAATTTCCAATATGAGGGCATCACATCACTGCGCGACAACCTCCAACATTGGCTACCTGCCGGCACAATAATAAGGAATGGGAATTCGCTGCCAAAAGAACTCGTCTGGGCACAGACATCAATGCGTCCGCAACGAACTTGCTGCCAATGAATCATGGTGTGGAAAGGGCGCACCAGCACCCGCTGCCCCAGGACTAAGAGCAATGCCTCGGAGTGAAAAGGCCGTGCTTAAATTTTGTACCACTCTAGACTTCCTTTTCGGTCTTGCAATCGCGGTTGCACACAAATAGCCGAGGATGATGCCAGGCCACAGCCTGAACGCGGGATCGTATGAGCAATCACTCACAGCCTTCAAAAAGCTACTGGTAGTGCTATAATTTTTTCCAGACCACCAGGTCACGAACCACGACTACTCCCGCTGCCCCTTCCATCAGGATGATTGCTGCCACTATTCCAACTGTCGTTCGGACTACCTCTTGCTATTGCCCGTTGCGCGTGTCACTGCTATGCAGAAATTCGTGCAGGGCAACACGAATCAATCTGTGGCCTGAATATCGCGCATTGCTCTCTAAGAGGGACTTGTCCAAGTCTTCAATGGCCTTAGCAGGGAAGGCAGGAGATTGAAACTGAAACAGAGTCGAAGGGTCAACGTCGAAGTCTGACTCAAAAGGATTCGCGCAGCAAGACTGGCCCAGAGCAACACAGACCTGGCCTGGTGGACCATGTCGATCAACTCGAAATCTTCCGGCCTGGGATTGGTGGGTGGATGAAAGCCTGCACTTCCGAATGGAAAGATCACCATCGTCGACAACTTTCGAAGCAATGCCAAGTAGCTCGTCCTGACGAGCGCTAAACCTCACAGGTTTCGGCATAAGATCCATGAGCAAGCAGAAAGTATCACGCACGATATGACGAACAAATGCCGCATGTCTCCAGTCAGTCGGAGGAAAATCAGGTGTCCAGCCGAGGCAGAAAGAAGGTGTGGAATCTTTGCGCGCAGAATAATGCTGCAGCCTGATTGCATGGCACACACAATCAAAACCTTTGGGTCGAAGTCGAAGATGCAGGGACTGGCTCCGGGCGCTAGAGTCACGAAGACCATCAACCAGTAGGAACATTGCCGCAGGCCGGTCCTTCATGCATGTCGCACTCAGAATTCAGAATCTTGGACCATAATCAAGCTTCCGCGCATGTCGTAAGGCCAACCGAGCTAAACCCTTGTCATAAACCTCCCAACCCCAAACCGAAGCCCCTAAACTCCGCGATTAGACCACTAAACCCTAAAAGACGCTCCACCTCTCAACCTCTCAACCCTAAACCCCTTTAGACCCCTCTCTCTGAAGCCGGGCCATGAAAAGCAGAGGCTGCTTGAGAAGATGGCAAGTTCGATGGAGCTCGGGCCTCAGCTCTTTTGGCACACTTTTTGGGGGCTTTTTCAGGGGGTGGTGTTCCTCAGGGTTGGAAGGGTTTAGTATAATATAATATGATTAATAATATAGTACAATATATTTTAATACATATTTTAGGGTTTAGCTTTGAAGGGTGTAGGTGTAGGGTTCAGCAGCTCCAGTTCGAGCAGTCTCTCATCGGGCTCGCTACGAAATCATCCCACCCACCCAAGAATCCCTTAACATTGAACCTGTATCCAAAACTGCCCTAGACCCCGAAACCCCAGGCCCTAAACCCTAAGCCCCAAAACCCTGAGCGCGAAACTCTAGGCCCTGGTGGCGCGCAAAACATGTTCGCATGTATTGACACATGCTTTTCGTTTGTGGCATGGGAACGATAAGAGAGCGCTTTGCCTCTTGAAGGGGGCTCAAAACATGTTCGCATTGACTAGTAGAATTGCTTCGGTTAACGAGGGTCGTACGAAAGGAGGGTGGCGTCAAAATCTGTTCGTATGCATGAACGGACGATAAGAATATGCTTCGCTTATCGGGGGGTCACTCAACACATGTTCATGTGAAGCGGTTTGCTTCGTGGTGCCCCTAAGCACCGCAACCCTAAGGCCCCAAAGCTCAAGCCCCGAAACCCTACGCCTTGAGATCCTAAGCCCCAAAACGGTCTAAACCTTGCCCTCAACTGTAAGCACCAAAATCCTATACCCCAGCTAAGCCCCAAGCCCCAGGCCATAAACCCCAGGACCTGAAACTCCAGGTAGCCCCAAAATCCTAAGCCCTGAACCCTAAGCCTACCTAAACGCTAAGCCACAAAACCCTAAACCCTAAGCCCCAAAACCCCAGGCCCTAACCACGGAGAAATCGCATGCCGGCAAAGTTCGTGGGCATTTGGGGTACACATGATGTCGTGGGCATTTGCGATTTCTTCGATATGCTCTTCGTGGGCATACGCGAAAGCCGGCCGAAATTGCAAATTCCCACGAAAGCATGAAAGCTTAAACACATATGAAAGAGAGGTCTTACTGCTGATGGAAACCATCTTGCAGCATACTTAGGCAGCAATCGGCCACAATTTGTGCGGTTTGGCGTTCTGAAGGTTATAAACGGTATCGTCTATGCGGTTTTAGGGTCCAGCGAGTGCATTCTAAGGATATCTTGCTGACTGTTTGGGTCCCCGGAGGCTCCCAGTTAATCGTAAAACCAAGTGAAATGGATGAGAGACGGAAGGTCTTGTGTTTCCTTATTGAGTAATAACAAGAAGACCTCATCACGCCTAGTCTGGTCTTGTTCATGAAGTGCCAAACCCGGCAGAGATCTCAGATAATACTTGTATCATGAGATACTCTTGCTCTTCCAATTTGTCGGCTCTCTGAAACACACGATACACGCAAAGACAAGGGCTCAAGTTTCTCGAAGTCTCGCTCGTAGGAATTTGTTTTCGTGAGGCTGACCACGAGTCTTGGGTGCACGGCAGCAGCACTGCCATGGTGTCTTTTCGACCACCTGCTGCTGGCAAGCACGCCGAACCTGGCCAAGCACGTCAAGCGAGCTCCGCTCGGTTCACCGACCCTCACCGAGGCTCAAGCCATTCGAGATGTGCACTGGCTGAGTCTCCGGATGGTGCCTTGGTCCGGGATCGGGGCCCACTTGGACTCGCAAGACCCGACACGGACTTGCAAGCATGGCATTTGAGCAGCTGGCGGTGTTCCTGTTTGGACCCACCTTAGACCACATTGGGCGACGCGACGCAACCCGCAAGCAACACTAGGTAGCATTTCATGCGGTGTGAGAGGTTCTCAGATGCCTTCGTCTTGGGAAGCTGGACAATAGTATTTTCTTCCACTCAACCTCTCTGATTTCTGCATCTTCTCCGCCTTTCGTCTGGCAGCCTGGACCGGGTGCCTGCCTCTTGGGGGTCCTCGAGTCCTCGTTGCATCCAACTGGCGCTTGTCGCCGCCGGGGCATTCTACTTGCTCGATCTTCGTGCAGGAGGCTGGGCTGGGTGGAGCACCCGCCGACGCGAAGGGCTTGGCATGCTCAAGCCATGAGCTGCGAGAAAAGCTGCAACTCACTGCCGCTTCATCAGCTCCACCAATTGATGCCTGGTCGGGGCAGGGCTTGCTGCAGCTCGGCAACACCTCCAAGGATGTAGTCTCAAATGCAAACCAACCAAACACGAGAGGCCTTTGGAGGGCTTCCTGAGTGGTCAAAGACATTGCTCTGTGACGTCTTGAACTTGCAACGGAAGGCTGCACGGGGCTCTCTCTCTCTCCCTCATAACAGGTTTATCGCACCAGGCCAAGATTCTTGCCCGCGGCCTTGCCGACCATCTGAGCCCTCAAGTTGGGAGACGTACGGACTTATGGGATAGTCACGTCTGCTGCTGGTGATCTGTCTGAGTCTAAGCATCACACGTTGGCTGTCTGGAATTATCCGCTGCAGGGATGGGGCCGGACCATTTTGGCAGTGGAGCCGTCTGGCCTTTGCCACCTTTGCCACCTTTGCCGCCTTTGCCGGCTTCTACCAGAGGTTCTCTGAAACGCAAGGAGTTTTGACGAAGTAGCTCCTCGAAACATAGCCCAAACCAAACTGATCGATGCAGAAGGGCAGGACAGCAGCTGCGTACGTGAAGTGCACCCTATGTCCTGCAGCAGCGATATGAGCTCCTTGTCCTTCACGCCACCTTCTCTTGCAAAGGCGGTCCCACCATCCGTTGAGATCCTTGACTCTGGCTTGCTCTTTGCACAAACCAGATCGCAGGACTCAGAGCTTTGGTTACTCAAGCAGGCATGCAAAGACATGTTGATTGTCTGTGGGATGCTCAACTGCGGTCATGTCTCTGTTCGGCACACTCGAACAAGGCATCCTGCGAGATCAATGCACCACAAGATTCAAGTTGATGTGCAGTCTGCAGCAAGCGAATGCTTCAGAAAATTGTATCCAATATTATCCAATTCAAGCATACCCGAAAGCTGCACTCCCCAGGCTGCACCCCACCCCAGCACGTTCCTCAAGTCTGCTTCGCAACAGCAGGACCAAGTGGACCGTGTCCTCGATTTGCCACAGCAAACAGCTCTGGCAAAGTCAAGCACGGTTTGCGCTTGCTTCGCAGCGACTGCCTGCAATTAGTTCATCCCAAGCTTCAGGAGGCACGGGACCGATCCGAATCCACTCCGCAACCACCACACATCTTCCTTCCTGCCCGGGCACGTCGAGTTATGCAGCATACTTCCTATCTGACAAACGAATCGGAAATGATGGCATCATACTGTCCTCGGAATCCATGCGGATCTCCGAATTTGTGAATGGCTTGAGCAACGCCAACAGCGGAGGCATGTTGGTGAGCTGCCTGACGAGGTGCTTGCATTGCTCCCGCATGAATCATTGACCAATCATGACCAAAGCAACGTGCTCAAGCTAGAAACGTTTGCCTGCAACGTGCAGGTCTCCATCCCTCCTCTTGCACTCGATCCAAGAATGCGAACAGCGGTGACGGAAAAACCTTGATGTGCAAACACATCGCTGCACAGAAATCGGAAGTGTCAAGTCAAGCTATTTGGTCCGATGCCGCTGCATCGGAATGCTGCCAGGATGCAAAAGAATTCTTGCAACAGTTAAGCGAGCTTTTATGAACCATCCCTTTGGCGTCCTGCCAGGGGATTGCTTTTTTTGCCCGCCCTGCCCCCCCCCCCCCTGCCGCTCTTGGCAAGTCGCTCGTCCTCCTCAACCCAGAGATGCCGCTTTTCTTGGTGCACTGCCTGAGAACTTGGCGTTGGAGCACAATTTTGTGCAACAGCGAAGATGCGACGAGGCCGCAACCATGTGTGGCAAAGCGGTGACAAGGCCGAGCAAAACAGCTCCCCATTGCCACTCCTCAAGTTCTTCCACTGCTTAAATCTCCAAGTGCAGTCTGTCTTGGCTGCACCTGCGGTCCCCAATCACGGATGGCTGTGTAGCTTCGCTTTCTGCTGGATGGGCCGAGGTCGTCCTTTCCATGTGGAACCCATTCCGCCCCCCCTTTTCCGAGAGATGGTCTAACCGGAGTCTGATTGGTCCTCATCCAAGGGCTCCGACCGCGCCATGCCAAGGGCTCCCAATGCATCCGTCTGCAGCAGGCCACGCAGCTGCTCAGATGCATCGTAGACCTGACTTAGGATTTCTGTGCAGAGAAACCGATCCCGCAGCATTCGGTGCCCGGCTTGTCTCATGATGGCAGGATGAAGGCCCTCCGAAGTAATGAATCCTGAGCAGACTGCGGCTGGTTTTGCTGCAGAGCAAGCAGCCTTCAAACTGAAATGAGGCTCATTGAGGCTCGGCATCCGCTAAAACTGTGCTACCACCACGCAACGCTGCTCTTCGTTTGAGGAACTGTTTGCAGAGTTCTCGCCCACAGTCTCCTTCAGCCGCGCGTACTCCTCGAAGCTTTCAATCCACCCCGTGAAGAATCCATACGAAAAAACACGATACGACGCAGGATGCTCCTGATGCACAAGGCCCAGAAGAAACTGGTCCTGCAGAGTTTTAGATTGGAATTTCCTGCAACGTGGAAGCTAATGAATGGCCCGGCAGCACTGTCGGTCCGAATGCTTGTGCGAACCTGGGCTGGCAAGGAAGGCACTTTCAAATTACCCCGCTTCGTGTGGTGGTCAGTTCACTGTACCCGCAGCCTGGCCGCCCTGATACCGCTGCGAAATTGACCATGGCAGATAGCCTGCCGACCTCTCAAAATGGAAGGGCTCGTCGAAGGACATGGCAGCACCTTGCATTATAGCTGCATAGGCGATTTCGCCCATTGCGCCACGCAAAACACGGGATGCGGAGCTTGCAGGCTTAGCCTCGCACACAGCGTGACCATGGCATCACCCAGTCCAAACAACCAGTGCCCCATCAAAAGGGCCAGGCCCACCTGGAGCGAGCATGAGCAGACCCCATCCCTGTCTCGGCTAGAAGCTGCAAGTTTCTGAATGCGCTGAGCCGCATGAGGATCCAAAGGCAAGCGGGCCAGAATCCGTCCGAGGCTGGTGAGGTTCTGCTCATCGTCCAGAGCCCTGGCAGAATCGGGCACGGGATCACGACAGTGAGGCAAAGGTCATCACAGGGTCGGCCTCACAAGCGTGAGCTGTGATATTGCATGAACCACCTTAGCTGAGATGTTTACCCAAAGCATGCAACACCCCTCGAAGGGAAGAGCCACTGGGCATCTCCACTTCTGGCACTGCAATTGTCGTGTGAAGTTGGGGGCAGTTCGGGCCATCCCATACACGTGTCCAATGCAGTTGCTCTTGAGTTCCTGGCGAAAGTCTCGCGTGGAGGATCTGGGCATTGAGACAGCACCGTTGCGATGTCGCCCAGCTCCAACGATTTCACCAACAGCGCCGCACCCACCTCTGGCTTCAGTTGTCAGCGGCTTCGGCTCGATTACGACATGGAGCGGCCAGATCCCATGATGCAGCGACCACGCAGCCAAGCGACCAATGGCATCCGGGTAAGCTCCGGTGGAACTTCGTCCTCGTGCAGCCAGAAGTGTGGCTCGACTTCTTATGAGATGGACACACACAAAACACACACACACACACCAACACACTCAGACTCCTCCAAACCCTCCGTGAAGCGCAGGCGACTGCAGAGTCTGAAGCAAAGCCCCGGTCGGGTCCGACCGGCCCGGCCCTGCAAACAGCGGCTCTGCAGCTCTCCCGTGCGGGACTTTTCCCACGCCTTCCGCTGATCCAGGTTGTGGCGGCCAGTGAAGACCACATCGGTGTATCTCGGCGAACTTGAAGCAGGAAGGGCCAGGATGACCCGCCGGAAACTAGGTCGCAAACGACAGCTTCGTGGCTTCTGCGAAGAAGGTCAGCTTTACCTAAGCCGAAGGCAATATACCAAGCGGAAATTCCTGCGCCCCATTCCCTCGAGGGCCGAGGGCAAGACTTTACAGGAGTCGATGACCTGTCCAACCGCATCATCAACAGGATCTTCCGGATGCTCAGGTCGCTGCTGTGGTGGTAGCCAAACCAAGTGGCGCACGCAGGTCACATCATCAATGGTGATGGAGGACTCGGCAATATTGGTGGCCAGAATCACCTCCGAATCAGATCATGTGCATGCGCGGCTGCTCTCGCAGTAATTCAACTTGTTCGTGCCTTAGCGAGCCCTTCCGGTGCTGGATGGAAGGCATCCATTTGTGCTTCCTTCGGAACCTGCAAAAGCTGCTGCCAAACACTACCAGCACGAACGGGAGGCCTACTTTTCCTGCCTGCGAGTGGAGCATAATCACTTTGCAAGACTTGCTGAGGACCTCGTCCGCCTCAGGGGGAAAAAGCTGCCGGCACAGCGCGAGGAGACCTTCAAGATCTCCAAGGCTCGTTGCCTCCACAAGCTTGGCCAGGATGCTCATGAGACTCCAGCTGGGCAGAAACACCAGGACCTCGGGAATTTCCCCAAAAGACCACACTGAGGGAAGCGGCCATCCCACCCGGGGATCCAGCAGAACCAGTGTCGGGAGAGACCGTACCTTCTGTTACCAAAGCTGACAACAGGTCCTGCAGCTGAAATCGGCGAGCAGGTGAACTGGCGAAGCTACAATGTTTTTTTTCGATGCGGTCCTTGGTGAGATCCAAGGGGATTTTCTGCTCGGGAAGTGCCCGCAAAGCCTGTGATGTTTCGGGCCATCTACTTCGCTGGGACTGGAAAAGGATGGAAATTGAGCTGCACTCAACCAGCCT